TATATATATATATATATATATATACACACACACACACACACACACACACACACGCATTTCAGGCAAGAAAAATCAGAGAAGAATACATAGCTGGAAAGCAATATGAAATATTGTATCAACTGGTCATGAAACAACTTCCTATACCTTAGGAAGGTTTTAAGACTCGTCACTTTAAAATTTACTTCGTGTAATGATAACTTAGCATGATACGCCATGATTGCAATAGCAACTATTTGAAGACACGTGTAGTAATCTATGAGTGCCTCTTCTAGGAGAAGAAAATGCTGTATGCTTTACAAATTCTTCTATAGTTTAGTTTCACACGGGCTTTTTTTATTATTTAAATGCGTGCGTGTTGCTCCTTCATGAGAGTCTTACCAAGCTGCTCATGAAATATAAGAAATATAAGCGATACCCGCATAGAGGACCCGGTACTGTGGACCTTGTGCGCCCGAAGTTTTACATGAAGCTCCGTCGACTCGGGCGTGTACGGGGATCGACGGTCAAGTGTGAAAAACGATCAGTATTGATGTTATTACCAGAGAGGCTGTAGTCATGCATTCAAGCTCACAAGCCCATTAAAATGTAATGGGCGTAACTGCAGTAAGCATTTATGAGGTAACCTTGCTTTCTGTTTTTATTTTTATTACTATTTTTGATTTCTATTTTTAATTTTTATTTCTATTTTGTATTTTTATTTTATTTCGTGCAGAATACAAGGACTGCCAAGAAATGCCTGTCCAGCCCGAAGATGCTACAAACACAGAAGGAAAAAGAAGCCCCTTCAGCCTCTTTCGAGCCCACCATCCGGTGGAAAACGGATGCAAGATCTGAACGTGATGTGATTCTCAGAACTGTCAAATCCCTTATGGGCTTCAAGAGAATCGTATGGCCAACAAATCCAGCTTCACTTTGATTTTAGTCAGTCTATCAAAGAGATTACCAGAATGGCAGAAGAGCAATTACCTAGCCCTTTGCGTGAGGGTAACAAGATGATAAGGATGATAAGACTCCCACAGCATTTCAGAAGGTCCGTCTTTCCCACTGGGCCTAAGTGACTTTTCCATTAAAGGGTGAAGAAAATGGCTATTATAAGAAAATGCCGGTGAAGAAAATAATGTTACTGTATAACAGGCTGGTTGCTTTTGATAAAGAGTTTGTAGGAAATAACACAAAGAGTGGGCTTACTGGCTTGCTGTCCTCAGAAATGGTCCCTTTCTTTGATGTTTCTGAGACGAAGCTAGGAGGGCATTAGTTTTCTTTTAAACAAAAAGTTCGTGGTGTGTGTGGGTGTGTTTGTGTTGGGAGGGAAAGTTACTTTCTTTAAAAATAAAACTGTTCCTTAGACATTATTTTAAACCAAGGCTAAAGGGACACGTCCCCTTCTTTGTCTTCAGAAGAAATGGCAGAAAGTTCGAATCTTCTCGCTTTCTCTTCCTAAAATAACGCCTTGTTACGATTAGATGTGTGGTGCCCTAAAAAAAATGAGCAACAGCTTCCAGGTTCAAGCATGCACAAAGAAACATTCAAAATCCTTTTGAAGAAGCAGACTAATCTCAACCTTTGTATTTAGAGTGGCAAAGCTACAGTAAAATACCGTTAAACTGGGTTCTTAAAGTTTTACTTGGTGGCATTTTCTTAGGTGCGTGATGCTGAGATGCTGTGAGCAGTAACGCAGCTCCCAGAGGGACCTGTGCCTGAGCGCTGGGGATTAGCTGAGCTGCCAAGTCTAGTGTATCAGAGCCTGGGATGTACACTGGACTGACTTTACCGTCTTATTTAAATGTGATGATTTTCTCATTTGTTGCATTGTTTGTATTAATACGAATATCTTGTTATGTTTGTTTTGTCTCCTGGGAGCCAATAAAGCTGTGAAGTTTTTCTTTACACCAAATGCAGCTCTACGGGCGATCAATCAATGGGTAGTTTTTGGATAATCTGCGAGAGTGAGAAATCTAATAAAGCAAGCAACTAAAAAAGGAAAACAAAGTCTATTTTCTGTTAGGTTAGCTACGTCAGGAGTCAGGCTTTCCACCATGCCTTTACAAGATATTTAAACAGCTACATTTAACTATCAGGGCAGCACCTCGCTAAATTAGCTT